TGGTGGGACCGGGATGGATAGTATCATCCGCTCTCTCCTGTGCGCACTCACTCCACATCTCCGTGAACACCTTTTCAGTGCGCAGGGCCTCAACACACTCTTTGGCAGTGTTGACAAGCTGTACTGTCGTTTGAAGGTCCATTTCCTCTGACTGCATCATCCTGTTAGCTGGCTCAAGCAGGGACAATATCTTGCATATTATCTGGGTGTGGAATTTAAAGCTTGGCTTTAAAATTCTGCTCAGCAAGCCTGCTGCTTCCATTCTCAAGTCAGCTGGAAATGATGCAGAGTTTTCAACGTGTCGTAGTAGTTCCACTATATCCTGAAAAGATTTCAGAATAATCTGAACAGTGGCCAGGTGCCCTGTCCAGCGCTGTTCGAGTAAACGCTTCAGCGTGTTTCCCTGGTAATGGCTTTCGTGTGAACTTGTAGAGGACATTACAGATTTTGAATAAATCCTCAATGGCTCTCTCACCGGACATGGCGTGAACAACGACCAAGTGCAGCTGGTGGTTGAAGCAGTGCACATATGGGATTTCTCTGCCCAGTTCATCTTGAAGGAGTCTTTGAACCCCACCGTGTCTCCCCGACATAAGACTTGCTCCATCGTATACCTGGCTGAGAATTTTGTCTGTGCTCAGGCCAGCTTTGCGTATTTCATCAATGAGTGTCTGTGTGAGGGTTTTTGCATCACCTGCAACTGCTGTGGCGATTGTCAAGAGCCTCTCTTTTATGACATAGTTCTCATCAACAAAACGCAGTACAATTGAAATGTTTTCACAGCCTGTTGGGTCTCGGGTTCCATCCATTTTGACAGTGTAAAAGGAGTCGCCTATTTCCTCAACAATATGCTCCGTTACAACTTTGCTCATCAGGTCAATTATTTCGTTTTGTATATCATGGCTTATGTAGGTAGCATTTTTGGGAATGGTGGGGGCAATTTTCGCGAGTTCTGGGTCCTTTTCGATGGTATACTCAAACAATGACAAAAATAACCCACTGCCAGACTTGGACATACACTCTAAAGAGTCGTGGTCACCTCGGAAAGGAAGATTGCTGGTAGAGAGAAAAGTCACAATGTCAATAATGGAGCCCACGTAATATTTGTTACGAGCCAGCTGATCTTTGTTGACAAGAGTTGTGATTTCCTGACCAGTCTCGATGCGCATTTGTTTTTCTCTCCACAATTTCTCACAGACTAAATGTTCCTTGGAAGAGCTGTGTTTGCTAAGACCCATGCCCTTTTGTAAGGCATGCTTCCAGTCTTTGAAGCCTTTTATGGTGAACGATGCGTCATGATGATGAGCCTTAAACTTTCTGCATGGGAAACAGTACGCAGCATCGCCTTTTACGGAGTATTCAAGCCAGGGTCGGTTTTGGTACCATGAGCTGGCAAAACTACGTTTTTTTCCCGGAGAAGAGCCGAGAGGGGAAACTATCCAGGACTACCTGTTTTGGTGTATCCACGCCAAGGTCCTCTGGAACTAGAAAACTAAAATCTCCAAGATCACGAGCGTTTAGAATGGGAGCTGGGACTGGGCTGCTAAAGGTTGAACTGCTGCTCCTGCCCGGCCCCGAAGAGGCTTCGTCTGACAACGTTGACTCGGGACCTGGTGGAGGAGAAGGAATAGGTGGCGGGAGACACGTCAAGTTGCCAGCATCTGGTGCTGAGTTGTCAGTGCCACAATCCTTTTGTGAGCTCTTATTGTTCGTGAACCACTTCCTAATATCCATTGTTGCCGATACATATAAAAAAGGATAATAGCCTAGCCAAACTAACCGCCACAGTAAACTGACAGGCTGCTGTGACGCGTCTCACTTTTAAAAAAAAACACACACAACTCAACCCCGCGAAAAACCAGTCACAGAGATTCATTCAGAATTTCATAGCAAAATAAAAAAATTATATTATACTAATGTTTCAACATAGTTTAATACAAAAATAAATGGTATGACAAAGCCCTACAAATAACAACAATAAATATAATAATACAAACATTTTAAAAATATTTTTATATAATAATTTTTTTTAATCAGCCCTGATTTCTCATGGGCGGGCCCAAATCCTGGATGGGCGGGCCCAGCCCCATGGGGCCCGCCCATGACGCCGGCCCTGCCCGCACCGTCGTGTCTTTCCGGCCGTGCCGACACCTTCCGCTCCCAATTCAACATGTCGAATCTGGAGGCTGTCGGCAAAATAAATCCCTCTGATTGGCTGTTCAGCTTAGCGAATCAGTGCTTGAGAATCGCAACGGAAGTGAAGAAGGCACACAGACGGCTATTATTTTTCATTTTTAAGTACCGCACTAAACATGTTTCGATTACAAGTCGTTATGCGAAACAGTCTGTGATGGACGAGAGTGAAAATGGAACGCACGCTATTTGTTGTTTGTATACATCGCGCACATGGGCGCCGTAAGGGGGTGAAAGTTAGGACGATTCTAAGGCCCGTGACTGACGGGGCCCAAACTATTTTAGAACATTAAGAAAAAAATGTTTAAGTAACCAATGTGATATCTTTTCATGGGTCCCAAAATCCCTGGCGGCGCCCCTGATCACGCAGTCTGTCTTCCGGTTGCCTCTTTTGAATGACGAATACACACTACCGCCCCCTGCTGGTAAGGAGAGTTATTGCCACTCACGCATGCGCAGTTCGTACGTGGCTGTCGGCTGAAGTCTTTGCGGTGTGTTCCAGACTGTTGGCCAAGACGCAGAGACGTGAGGAGACACAACAGTCAGGTCCGTCGGGACGTCAGTTTGGTGCGTCAGGGCTGTACACAAGTCTCGTTAAAAACTCTGAGAATATTCAGATTTTAAACAGAAGGATTGCATTTTACCATCCTTTAGAACAAACATGGGGTTTTCTCGGCATCTAAACCCTTTATACGTCCTCCCTGAACCACAAATATGTCCCTGTTTCGTAAACCTTTAAATCTTTTCTCTCCCCCTCGGAGGGATTGGTCCACTTTGTGCCGCTGCCTCTCTTCAGGAGATTCACATCGAGCCGTCCTCTCCTTTCTCTCGGCACATGTCCTCACTATTGTCCGGGAGTCGTTTCATGCTCCTCTTTTACAACCTCTAACTTCATTTCCTGGAAGAGAGGCGGCTGCTCTCGGCGGGCCTGACCCGTCACGGCGGGAATCCAAAGTGAACCGAGGCTTAACGCGGCTTTTGTTGCGCTAATTAGCATAGCAACGATTAAAGGAGATTAGCTGTTCGATCCATTGGGATGCAAATGTGTGCATGAGGACACACTTTCAGAGCATGTGTGATTCATGTTTACTTAGAAAGTGTGTGTGTGTGTGGTGGTGTGGGTGTGTGTGTGTGGTTGTGTGTGTGTGTGTGTGTGTGGGTGTGTGTGTGTGTGGTGTGTGTGTGTGGTGTGTGGGTGTGTGGTGTGTGTGTGTGTGTGTGGTGTGTGTGTGTGTGTGTGTGTGGTGTGTGTGTGTGTGTGTGTGTGTGTGTGTGTGTGTGTGTGTGTGTGTGTGTGTGTGTGTGTTGTGTGTGTGTGTGTGTAGGGCCATGAACTGCATGCTTCCTTTTTTAATCAACTGCTCGTTAGTGACGTCCAAATCACCCTGACGAGTTTACATTTCCTCTGCTAAAATCTCATTAGTGCTTACCACTGAGGATGTCACTCTGCCAACATCACACACACACCACACACACACACACACACACACACACACATATATCATTCAACAGGAGAACCGTGACATTTCCCCACTGTCTCCCTCGTCCCATATCTCATTCCCCCCCCTCACAGATTGGATTAACGCTCTCTATGGACGACAGCTTGGCTCTGTAACGGGCAGCTGCACTAAATGTCGGTAAAATCTCTTCACAGAGAGAAGTCGCCCAAATCACGGCTGCAGTAATCTGCGGTGGTGCACAAAAGAAGAGGAGGGTCTGAATTTGATTTACGTCGCCGGCTTTATTCACGCCGATTGTTCCTCTGTCTGTTAAAATGGGGATGTTATAGAAAAAGGAGGGACCGTCTCTTTTTATTCTGTTCACTTGCAAATTCATAATGTGTGTGTAATACAGTTATGGATGTGCTTTGTCAAGAAGAGAATGGGGCTTTTAATGCCATTCACAGTCCACATTTTTTATTCTGCCTGTATGAAAAGACTAAAGGGCTGCCGCTGAATAGCGTATTTTAATAAACAATTTAGTTACATACATAGTGGAGTGGTGCAGGAATGAGTCCTAAAACACAGAAATTAGTCAGCATTTTAGCACTTCCTGTCCTGCAATGGTTTTCTAATATTTGTTGCGGTTGTTAGCCTGGAATAATTTCTTGGTTAACACAAGCTGAAGAGATTTCAATTATACGACATAAAATATGTCAGTAAATTCCCCACTGGTGGATTTAAAAACTGCCGTTGCTAACAACTGTCTAAATGAGACGACTAGACATCATCATGCCAAACATTAGCCGCCTTTAGCTTAGCGGTGGAGACGTGAAGTCATGTGACCGTGCTGTAGTTCCTTTATAGCCCAACATTAGCCTCCTTTAGCTTAGCGTGGTGGTGACGTGAAGTCATGTGACCGTGCTGTAGTTCCTTTATAACCCAACATTAGCCTCCTTTAGCTTAGCGGTGGTGAGGTGAAGTCATGTGACCGTGCTGTAGTTCCTTTATAGCCCAACATTAGCCTCCTTTAGCTTAGCGGTGGTGACGTGAAGTCATGTGACCGTGCCTGTAGTTCCTTTATAGCCCAACATTAGCCGCCTTTAGCTTAGCGGTGGTGACGTGAAGTCATGTGACCGTGCTGTAATTCCTTTATAGCCCAACATTAGCCTCCTTTAGCTTAGCGGTGGTGACGTGAAGTCATGTGACCGTGCTGTAGTTCCTTTATAGCCCAACATTAGCCTCCTTTAGCTTAGCGGTGGAGACGCGTAATTCCTTCCCCCATCCTCCCCCTTCCAATCCTCTCCTCTCGTTTCCTTACTCTTGCTTCCTCTCCTCTTGCTTCCTCTACTCTTGCTTCCTCTAATGATGTACCTTCTTCCCTCTCAGGTGTTTCTCCGGGAGTCTCTTGAGCACCGTCTGGAGAAGAAGCAGAGAGAGATGGAGGTGCTGAGAGCCGCCATGATCATCCAGGCTCACGTCACAGGATTCATCGCCAGGTCAATATTCAACTCTACATGAACTAAACATTATTATTACTATACAGCCTTAAAAAACTAAATTCTAAGTTGCTAATGAATGCATTGATGTCCTGTTCTCTCCCGACACACAGGAAGCAGTACAGGAAGCTGCTGCAGTGCATTGTGGTCATTCAGAAGAACTACCGGGCGTTTTACTGGAGGAGGAGTTCCTGTTGCTTCGCTGGGGCCGCGCTCACCTTCCAGAAACGAGTCGAGGGCAAAGAGCCCGCCGGGCCTTCAGCCAGCTGCTGGAGGAGATGAAGAGGAGGGAGGAGGAGATGAAGAAGAGGGCGGAGGAGAGGAAGAGGAGGGAGGAGGAGAAAGAGCAATGCAGGAGGAGGGAGGAGGAAATGGAGAGGTAGGAGACAAGAGAGGAGGAGGGAGGAGTTGCTGTCATGCATCCTTTTTAATACTCAGTGTGGTGCACCAGTGATTAATGGGCATCGCAAACACTTGTTTTTACTTAACATTTAAAACAGCTTTCAACTGTTAGGAAACACTTTCTGTCTTTTTGAACATTAAGCATGGAAACATGTTACAGTAGAGACACACAAATATGAACCTTAAAAGCAGCATAATATATCTTCTTTAAAGCTCCATGTCATGGCCATTTCCCTGATCATAGTTCCATTGTTGAGGTCTACGAGAATAGATTTATATTGTGCTATTCTCCAAACTCACATTGGTTCCTCAAACAGCATCTCTGTAAACTACGGGTATTCACTGAATTTCACTCTCTGCCTTTAGCGGCTCGTTGTAGCTCCAATAGCTCCAGCCCCCCCCCTCCCTGTGAGCACAGTGTGCTCTGATTGGTCGAGACGTTGTGAATCGCGCTGAGCTCCGTGGAGGTGTGATTTCCTTGTTTAGCGATACACAGCGAAACTCACCCTGAGCACACACAAAGTCACAGCCGAAGTAAAAACAATAAGTATGGCTTGATATTGAGTCAGAAAAAGGTTGATAACGCAGAGAGAATGGGTCTGCAGAGAGAATGGGTCTGTAGAGAGAATGGGTCTGCAGAGAGAATGGGTCTGTAGAGAGAATGGGTCTGCAGAGAGAATGGGTCTGCAGAGAGAATGGGTCTGCAGAGAGAATGGGTCTGTAGAGAGAATGGGTCTGCAGAGAGAATGGGTCTGCAGAGAGAATGGGTCTGCAGTGAGAACGGGTCTGCAGAGAGAATGGTCTGCAGAGAGAACGGGTCTGTGGAGAGAACGGGTCTGCGGAGAGAACGGGTCTGCAGAGAGAACGGGTCTGCAGAGAGAACGGGTCTGCAGAGAGAATGGGTCTGCAGAGAGAATGGGTCTGCAGAGAGAATGGGTCTGCAGAGAGAATGGGTCTGCAGAGAGAATGGGTCTGCAGAGAGAATGGGTCTGTAGAGAGAACGGGTCTGCAGAGAGAATGGGTCTGCAGAGAGAACGGGTCTGTAGAGAGAATGGGTCTGCAGAGAGAATGGGTCTGCAGAGAGAATGGGTCTGAGAGGATGGGTCTGCAGAGAGGATGGGTCTGTAGAGAGAATGGGTCTGTAGAGAGAATGGGTCTGCGGGAGAGAGAATGGGTCTGCAGAGAGAATGGGTCTGCAGAGAGGATGGGTCTGCAGAGAGAATGGGTCTGCAGAGGAATGGGTCTGCGGAGAATGGGTCTGCAGAGAGAATGGGTCTGCAGAGAGAATGGGTCTGCAGAGAGAATGGGTCTGCAGAGAGGATGGGTCTGTAGAGAGAATGGGTCTGCAGAGAGAACGGGTCTGTAGAGAGAATGGGTCTGCAGAGAGAATGGGTCTGCAGAGAGAATGGGTCTGCAGAGAGAATGGGTCTGCAGAGAGAATGGGTCTGCAGAGAGAATGGGTCTGCAGAGAGAATGGGTCTGCAGAGAGAATGGGTCTGCAGAGAGAATGGGTCTGCAGAGAGAATGGGTCTGTAGAGAGAATGGGTCTGCAGAGAGAATGGGTCTGCAGAGAGAATGGGTCTGCAGAGAGAAGGGTCTGTAGAGAGAATGGGTCTGCAGAGAGAATGGGTCTGCAGAGAGAACGGGTCTGCAGAGAGAATGGGTCTGAGAGAGAATGGCTCTGCAGAGAGAATGGGTCTGCAGAGAGACTGGGTCTGTAGAGAGAATGGGTCTGCAGAGAGAATGGCTCTGCAGAGAGAATGGGTCTGCAGAGAGAATGGGTCTGCAGAGAGAATGGGTCTGCAGAGAGAATGGGTCTGCAGAGAGAATGGGTCTGTAGAGAGGATGGGTCTGTAGAGAGGATGGGTCTGTAGAGAGAATGGGTCTGTAGAGAGAATGGGTCTGTAGAGAGAATGGGTCTGCAGAGAGAATGGGTCTGCAGAGAGAATGGGTCTGCAGAGAGAATGGGTCTGCAGAGAGAATGGGTCTCCAGAGAGAATGGGTCTCCAGAGAGAATGGGTCTCCAGAGAGAATGGGTCTGCAGAGAGAATGGGTCTGCAGTGAGAATGGGTCTGCAGAGAGAATGGGTCTCCGAGAGAATGGGGTCTGCAGAGAGAATGGGTCTGCAGAGAGAACGGGTCTGCAGAGAGAACGGGTCTGTAGAGAGAATGGGTCTGTAGAGAGAATGGGTCTGTAGAGAGAATGGGTCAGCAGAGAGAATGGCTCTGCAGAGAGGATGGGTCTGCAGAGAGAATGGGTCTGCAGAGAGAATGGGTCTGTAGAGAGAACGGGTCTGCAGAGAGAACGGGTCTGCAGAGAGAATGGGTCTGCAGAGAGAACGGGTCTGCAGAGAGAATGGGTCTGCAGAGAGAATGGGTCTGCAGAGAGAATGGGTCTGCAGAGAGAATGGGTCTGCAGAGAGAATGGGTCTGCAGAGAGAACGGGTCTGCAGAGAGAACGGCTCTGCAGAGAGAATGGGTCTGCAGAGAGAATGGGTCTCCAGAGAGAATGGGTCTGCAGAGAGAACGGGTCTGCAGAGAGAACGGGTCTCCAGAGAGAATGGGTCTCCAGAGAGAATGGGTCTGCAGAGAGAATGGGTCTGCAGTGAGAATGGGTCTGCAGAGAGAACGGGTCTGAGAGAGAACGGGTCTGCAGAGAGAACGGGTCTGCAGTGAGAACGGGTCTGCAGAGAGAATGGGGGTCTGCAGAGAGAATGGGTCTGCAGAGAGAATGGGTCTGCAGAGAGAATGGGTCTGTAGAGAGAATGGGTCTGCAGAGAGAATGGGTCTGCAGAGAGAATGGGTCTGTAGAGAATGGGTCTGCAGAGAGAATGGGTCTGTAGAGAGAATGGGTCTGCAGTGAGAATGGGTCTGCAGAGAGAATGGGTCTGCAGAGAGAATGGGTCTGCAGAGAGAATGGGTCTGCAGTGAGAATGGGTCTGTAGAGAGAATGGGTCTGCAGTGAGAATGGGTCTGCAGAGAATGGGTCGAGAGAATGGGTCTGCAGAGAGAATGGGTCTGCAGAGAGAATGGGTCTGCAGAGAGAATGGGTCTGTAGAGAGAATGGGTCTGCAGAGGATGGGTCTGCAGAGAGAATGGGTCTGTAGAGAGAATGGGTCTGTAGAGAGAAGGGTCTGCAGAGAGAATGGGTCTGTAGAGAGAATGGGTCTGCAGAGAGAATGGGTCTGAGAGAATGGGTCTGCGAGGAATGGGTCTGCAGAGAGAATGGGTCTGCAGAGAGAATGGGTCTGCAGAGAGAATGGGTCTGCAGAGAGAATGGGTCTGCAGAGAGAATGGGTCTGTAGAGAGAATGGGTCTGTAGAGAGAATGGGTCTGTAGAGAGAATGGGTCTGAGAGAATGGGTCTGTGAGAGAATGGGTCTGCAGAGAGAATGGGTCTGTAGAGAGAATGGGTCTGTAGAGAGAATGGGTCTGTAGAGAGAATGGGTCTGCAGAGAGAATGGGTCTGTAGAGAGAATGGGTCTGTAGAGAGAATGGGTCTGCAGTGAGAATGGGTCTGCAGAGAGAATGGGTCTGCAGAGAGAATGGGTCTGCAGAGAGAATGGGTCTGCTGAGAATGGGTCTGCAGAGAGAATGGGTCTGTAGAGAGAATGGGTCTGCAGAGAGAATGGGTCTGCAGAGAGAATGGGTCTGCAGAGAGAAGGGTCTGCAGTGAGAACGGGTCTGCAGAGAGAATGGGTCTGCAGAGAGAATGGGTCTGCAGAGAGAACGGGTCTGCAGTGAGAATGGGTCTGTAGAGAGAACGGGTCTGCAGAGAGAATGGGTCTGCAGAGAGAACGGGTCTGCAGAGAGAATGGGTCTGTAGAGAGAACGGGTCTGCAGAGAGAGAACGGGTCTGCAGAGAGAATGGGTCTGCAGAGAGAACGGGTCTGCAGTAGATGAGAACGGGTCTGCAGTGAGAATGGGTCTGCAGAGAGAATGGGTGTGCAGAGAGAATGGGTCTGCAGAGAGAATGGGTCTGCAGAGAGAATGGGTCTGTAGAGAGAATGGGTCTGCGGAGAGAATGGGTCTGCGGAGAGAATGGGTCTGTAGAGAGAATGGGTCTGGAGAGAGAATGGGTCTGCAGGAGAATGGGTCTACAGAGAGAATGGGTCTGCAGAGAGAATGGGTCTACAGAGAGAATGGGTCTGTAGAGAGAATGGGTCTGTAGAGAGAATGGGTCTGCAGAGAGAATGGGTCTGTAGAGAGAACGGGTCTGCAGAGAGAATGGGTCTGTAGAGAGAATGGGTCTGCAGAGAGAATGGGTCTGTAGAGAGAACGGGTCTGCAGAGAGAATGGGTCTGAGAGAGAATGGGTCTGCAGAGAGAATGGGTCTGCAGAGAGAATGGGTCTGCAGAGAGAATGGGTCTGTAGAGAGAATGGGTCTGTAGAGAGAATGGGTCTGTAGAGAGAACGGGTCTGCAGAGAGAATGGGTCTGCAGAGAGAATGGGTCTGCAGAGAGAATGGGTCTGTAGAGAGAATGGGTCTGTAGAGAGAACGGGTCTGCAGAGAGAATGGGTCTGCAGAGAGAATGGGTCTGCAGAGAGAATGGGTCTGCAGAGAGAATGGGTCTACAGAGAGAATGGGTCTGTAGAGAGAATGGGTCTGCAGAGAGAATGGGTCTACAGAGAGAATGGGTCTGTAGAGAGAATGGGTCTACAGAGAGAATGGGTCTGTAGAGAGAATGGGTCTGCAGAGAGAATGGGTCTGCAGAGAGAACGGGTCTGCAGAGAGAATGGGTCTGTAGAGAGAATGGGTCTGCAGAGAGAATGGGTCTACAGAGAGAATGGGTCTACAGAGAGAATGGGTCTGTAGAGAGAATGGGTCTGCAGAGAGAATGGGTCTGTAGAGAGAACGGGTCTGCAGAGAGAATGGGTCTGCAGAGAGAATGGGTCTGCAGAGAGAACGGGTCTGCAGAGAGAACGGGTCTGCAGAGAGAACGGGTCTGCAGAGAGAATTTCGCCGCGATCCCAACTGTCTGTTATCAGCCTGCAGCCCGGAGGAGAGATCAGCAGAGCTGCCTGCACTGAGTGTGTGAGGAAGTCCGTGGATTGGTCAATTTGGACCAATCAGCGGGGGCTTAACGTAACGGCTTCACGGATTGGTCCATTTCGTTCCGGGTACGGTTGACATCATGCGTACCCGTAAGAATCAAATGGACAGTGACGTTTCTCCAACGAGGCGTTTTGGGGAGGTATTTTCTGTGTTAGAGTTCTACTCGCTACAGGGTGTACTTTGAGGGTTTTGACTCTGCAGACCGTTTACATGCATACAAACCTTCATAACACACAAGGGGACGGGTACTAACCGGAAAAGCATGACATGGGACCTTTAAGACATTTTCATTTCAATGTTTGCCCCACACAGAACACTACTGCCTACATTTCTCTTTACACCATACATCATTGTATTGTTTCTCCGCTATCCCATATGTGTGTGTCCTAGATACTGTATGAAAAGTGACTCTGACAGAGGCTTAAAAGGTCGACACGTCAGCGAGAGCAGCGCTTGTACGGTGTGCACTTCCTAAAATCCCCAATTCCCAGAAATGATATCCAGGACGTGAACTCTGCTTCCTCAGCGCTATCTGCAGCCCCGAGGGAGGCGGACTCAAATTAGTGTGAAAAAAACTCTGCAGCAAAATGAAACCAAGATGATTCAAGCTCCCAGTAGACACCCTGATTATCATTTACCAGCATGCATTTATGTACACTACTTTGATAGTATTAATGCAAAGTAAAAAGTGGGTTTTATATGAATGACGTACACTTCCTGTCTGACCTTAACAATCTTTATTCTAGATGGGTTTTACGGGATTTAAGTGCAACGAGGGACGGAAATGTAATTACTTTTTGTTTTTGGTAAATCTTATCTTCTGTGTCAGTCTGCTAATGTGTGTGTGTGTGTTTTGTGGTTGTGTGTGTGTGTGTGCAGGGAGAGGCAGAGGATGGAGGCTGAGAGACTCGCCGCAGAGGTACGATGAAACTGATTATTAACGAGTTAATTTCTGTGGAAAAAGGGAATTAGTTTTCCATTTTAGTCTGATGAAAAAAGATACAAGGGACGAGAAATGTTCTGCAGTGAAATCAGGACAAATGACACTTGGAAATGTTTAATTTATGTAAATATTATCTCGCTTTACGAGCACACTTTTATATTTGTAATGAGAAAGCTTTTGGAACCAGGAGCACAATGAAGGGGAATGGAAAGCCACATTTCAAACTACTTCCACGAGAGAGTTTGGAGGTATCATTCATGAAAATTCTCAAGTACATTTCAAAAGATTGCTAAAGAATTATCTCAGTATTATAAAGTATACTTGAACTGTGCCTTTGGGTATGTGTGTATTATTATGTCCAATTATTTGTATTTTTTTGTTTGGCCTTATGATGGCTTAAATGTGATGACCATTTTAGTTTTCACTTCATATAGCATTGTGAATGGCATGAAATTATGAGCTCTTTTGTTTTAGTGTTATGTGTGTTTGACAGAGAGGAACCCAGGAAGAATAGCCAATGCTCATGCTAGTGCTAATGGGGATACTTTTTTATTTGTGTATTTAGTATCTCACTTTATGAGTAGACTTCTATATTTGTAATGAGAAAATAAGTGGGACTTGTTGGGTACCAGGAGCATAATAAATGAGAAATGGAAGGGGGGGTTAACCACTAACCAGAGATGGCAAAATTACACACTTCCTTTACTCGAGTAGAAGTACAGATACTCGTGTTTAAAAATACTCTGGTATAGTAGAAGTACTGACTAAACTTCTTTACTCAAGTGAAAAGTACCCATAACTAGCAGCTGTTTAAAGAGTACCTGACCTCCCTTTATATTAATAGAACAATAATGTCATTGTTAGCTAATGAATGTTTCCATGCTGAACAACGGCAACATGACAACGTTTCCATTGGTCCCTCTTCTTTAGAGAAGACCAGGAAATGATGGATACACGGATCGTGTTCAAATCAATAGGCACGCAATGACTCTAAAGAATAATGATCACGCATCAAACACACATTCAGACTAAAGGAACCAGCTGTTTGGAAATGAGAGAAGTAGAAAGTACAAGTATTTGAGTTCAACATGTAAGAAGTAGAAAGTAAGGTATTTGTGTTCAACATGAGAAGTAGAAAGTACAGGTATTTGTGTTCAACATGTAAGAAGTAGAAAGTACAGGTATTTGAGTTCAACATGTAAGAAGTAGAAAGTACAGGTATTTGAGTTCAACATGTAAGAAGTAGAAAGTACAGGTATTTGAGTTCAACATGTAAGAAGTAGAAAGTACAGGTATTTGAGTTCAACATGTAAGAAGTAGAAAGTACAGGTATTTGAGTTCAACATGTAGAAGTAGAAAGTACAGGTATTTGAGTTCAACATGTAAGAAGTAGAAAGTACAGGTATTTGAGTTCAACATGTAAGAAGTAGAAAGTACAGGTATTTGTGTTCAACATGTAAGAAGTAGAAAGTACAGGTATTTGAGTTCAACATGTAAGAAGTAGAAAGTACAGGTATTTGAGTTCAACATGTAAGAAGTAGAAAGTACAGGTATTTGGTTCAACATGTGAGAAGTAGAAAGTACAGGTATTTGGTTCAACATGTAAGAAGTAGAAAGTACAGTATTTGAGTTCAACATGTAAGAAGTAGAAAGTACAGGTATTTGAGTTCAACATGTAAGAAGTAGAAAGTACAGGTATTTGAGTTCAACATGTGAGAATTAGAAAGTACAGGTATTTGGTTCAACATGTAAGAAGTAGAAAGTACAGGTATTTGGTTCAACATGTAAGAAGTAGAAAGTACAGGTATTTGTGTTCAACATGTAAGAAGTAGAAAGTACAGGTATTTGTGTTCAACATGTAAGAAGTAGAAAGTACAGGTATTTGAGTTCAACATGTAAGAAGTAGAAAGTACAGGTATTTGAGTTCAACATGTGAGAAGTAGAAAGTACAGGTATTTGAGTTCAACATGTAAGAAGTAGAAAGTACAGGTATTTGTGTTCAACATGTAAGAAGTAGAAAGTACAGGTATTTGAGTTCAACATGTAAGAAGTAGAAAGTACAGGTATTTGGTTCAACATGTAGAAGTAGAAAGTACAGGTATTTGAGTTCAACATGTAGAAGTAGAAGTAGAAAGTACAGGTATTTGAGTTCAACATGTAAGAAGTAGAAAGTACAGGTATTTGAGTTCAACATGTAAGAAGTAGAAAGTACAGGTATTTGAGTTCAACATGTAAGAAGTAGAAAGTACAGGTATTTGAGTTCAACATGTAAGAAGTAGAAAGTACAGGTATTAGTGTTCAACATGTAAGAAGTAGAAAGTACAGGTATTTGTGTTCAACATGTAAGAAGTAGAAAGTACAGGTATTTGAGTTCAACATGTAAGAAGTAGAAAGTACAGGTATTTGGTTCAACATGTGAGAAGTAGAAAGTACAGGTATTTGGTTCAACATGTAAGAAGTAGAAAGTACAGGTATTTGAGTTCAACATGTAAGAAGTAGAAAGTACAGGTATTTGAGTTCAACATGTAAGAAGTAGAAAGTACAGGTATTTGAGTTCAACATGTGAGAAGTAGAAAGTACAGGTATTTGGGTTCAACATGTAAGAAGTAGAAAGTACAGGTATTTGTGTTCAACATGTAAGAAGTAGAAAGTACAGGTATTTGGGTTCAACATGTAAGAAGTAGAAAGTACAGGTATTTGGGTTCAACATGTAAGAAGTAGAAAGTACAGGTATTTGTGTTCAACATGTAAGAAGTAGAAAGTACAGGTATTTGTGTTCAACATGAGAAGTAGAAAGTACAGGTATTTGAGTTCAACATGTAAGAAGTAGAAAGTACAGGTATTTGTGTTCAACATGTAAGAAGTAGAAAGTACAGGTATTTGTTCAACATGTAAGAAGTAGAAAGTACAGGTATTTGAGTTCAACATGTAAGAAGTAGAAAGTACAGGTATTTGTGTTCAACATGTAAGAAGTAGAAAGTACAGGTATTGTGGGTTCAACATGTAGAAGTAGAAAGTACAGGTATTTGTGTTCAACATGTAAGAAGTAGAAAGTACAGGTATTTGTGTTCAACATGTAAGAAGTAGAAAGTACAGGTATTTGGGTTCAACATGTAAGAAGTAGAAAGTACAGGTATTTGTTCAACATGTAAGAAGTAGAAAGTACAGGTATTTGTGTTCAACATGTAAGAAGTAGAAAGTACAGGTATTTGTGTTCAACATGTAAGAAGTAGAAAGTACAGGTATTTGTGTTCAACATGTGAGAAGTAGAAAGTACAGGTATTTGTGTTCAACATGTGAGAAGTAGAAAGTACAGGTATTTGAGTTCAACATGTAAGAAGTAGAAAGTACAGGTATTTGAGTTCAACATGTAAGAAGTAGAAAGTACAGGTATTTGAGTTCAACATGTGAGAAGTAGAAAGTACAGGTATTTGGGTTCAACATGTAACAAGTCAAAGTAAAAAGTTGTGTAAGTAATAAGTACTGATACCAGAAACATGTACTTAAGTACAGTAACGAAGTATTTGTACTCCATACTTCCCACCTCTGCCACTAACTCTAACCCACTTCCACGAAAGAGTTTTTAAACGTGTTTATTTCTCCGTCTTCAGGCTGAGGAGATCAGACGACTTCAGGAGCTTCAGCTGGAGGAGAAGTTGGCCTCTTTGGCTCTTCTTCAGTCTGCAATAGCAGCCGAAACACCACCCAGACCGGAGGGTGAGATGGAGTCAGGAGAAACTGGAGAGGATGCATCCAATCAGGAGGAGGCGATCCGTCCTCACGAGGCCAATCAGGTGGAGGAGATCCTGCGACTAGAGCGGGAAATCCAGTCCCTCCAGGCAGAAGGAGCGTCAGGAACTCTCTCTGACCGAAGCTTCGTTAAGCCGCCTTCAGCTTCTCCGGGATCAGGAGCTCCGGCGCCTGGAGGACGAAGCGTGCAAGGCGGCGCAGCAGTTCCTCGACTCGCTGAACTTCGACGAGATCGACGAGTGCGTGAGGAACATCGAGAGCTCCTTGGGAGTGGAGGAGAAGAGAGAAGAGGAGAAGGAGGGTGGACGAAGGAGGAGAGGCGACGAGAGAAGAGGTGGACGAAGGGTTTGGAGCGGACGATGACGCGTTCAAAGACTCGCCGAACCCGAGTGAACACGGCCATTCGGACGGACAGCGGACAAGCGGGATTCGAACGAGCGACGACTCGTCTGAAGAAGATCCGTACGCCAATGATGGAGTAACCCCGCCTCTTCCACCAACCCCTCTGCTTCACCCAGTGCTACCTCTACTTCCAGCGCCTCCCAGTGCTTCATCCAGCGAAAATTCAGCCTTCTGCCACCCCAAAGGTCTGCAACTCTTTTTACTTTTACAGCTGAAGACTTTCATTTTGCAGCTGCTTTTAATTGAAATATTGATCCAGGAATGGCAAAAGTACCCACATCCTTTACTCAAGTAGAAGTACAGATACTCGTGTTTAAAATACACTGGTGAAAGTAGAAGTAGGCTACTGACTAAACTTCTTTACTCAAGTGAAAGTAAAGAGGCTTTGAAAAGTACTTCAGTAAAAAGTACCCATAACTATCAGCTGTTTTAAAGAGTACCTGACCTCCCTTTATATTAATGGAACAATGCACTGTAACTTTTATTCATGTACCTTTTGTTTTTCATGTTTTATTATCTTTGCTTTTAAATGAGTGTTTTTAAATGCCGTGTTATAATATATATCATAATGCTTGTTCATGTTTGTAAAGCACTTTGAATTGCCTTGTGTTGAAAGGTGCTGTATGAATACACTCGCCTCGCCTTTCCCAAAGCTTCGTCCGAGGCGCAGTCAGAAGATCTGGTGGAGCTCATTCCTCCGGACGAGGACTCGGACTACGACCAGGACGACTACGATGAAGGCGCCATCGTCTCCAGTGGCAGCGTGGCCTTCTCAAACCCTTGCAGTGGGCAGTGGTCTCCGGACTACCGAGGGTCTGTCGGCACCTACAACAGCTCAGGGGCGTATCGCTTCAGCTCGGACGGGGCTCAGTCCTCGGTGAGTTGATACAAAAATTTATTTTGTTCAATTAAGTGTTCATGAAAAGTATCTCACTTGTTACAGTCCTTCAAACAGTTAAAGCCAAACTGGTCATTGTTCTCAACTAGGCTTCATTTAGATGTAATACTTTTCACTAAGTCGGACCAAATGGTAAATGGACTACTTTTATATAGCTCTTTTCCAGTCTTTGCGACACGTCAAAGAGCTTTTTCAAAGTCAGCATTTATCCATTCATCCAGAGGCAAAGGCTACAAAACAAGGCGTTACACACATTTACATACGTTGCGATTTGCAACTTGGAATTGAGCAATAACCTCGATAACCCCAAAGGTTTTTGAGGATGGTTATAAAGCCTAACAGGTCATTGTTCTCAACTAGGCTTCATTTAAATTGAAAACGTTTCACAAAGTTGGACAAAATGGTAAATGGACTGCTGTTATATCGAACTTGTCCAGTCTTTGCGACCCCTCAAAGTCAGCATCAACCCATCATACAGAGTCTAGTTTACAAAACAAGGCTTTCCACACATTTACATACTGTTTGCCATTGGTGCAACTTGGAATTGAGCAGAATCCCGCCAAGTAAAAACGATTGGACCTTTTTAAAATGTGCTCGTTATGTCTTAAATGTCTAATTTCTGTTTGTTTTTATTCCAGTTTGAGGACAGCGAAGACGACTTCGACAGGTTCGACACCGATGACGAGCTTTCGTATCGACGGGACTCCGTCTACAGCTGCGTCACGCTGCCGTACTTCCACAGCTTCCTCTTCATCAAAGGTACAGTCTCTCCCTTATTACACTCCTACCTCAGACTTGTACAGCACAAGAGGAAAGACAAGGGGTTAGATTATATGTTTTGATTATAAGGATTGATCTTTAAAGTGTTCTCAAAGCTGGTGAAGCTGCAGCTAGTTTGAATGACTTTGTATACTGCAGGGTAGCTGGTGGATTTACTCCAGGTGGAACTAAAGTCTGATTTAACACTTGGTTATATTTCACATCATTCATCCACATCTGTGAAGTAACTAAAGGTATTAAATACATGTAGTGGAGGAAAAGTACACCATGTACCTCTGAACTGTAAAGGAGTTGTTTCTATGGCATACTATTCTATGACTTTCTATTTATGACGAAATTAGTTTTAAATCCTCTTCTGAATATAGTTGTTTGACATATATATAGCAAGCTGACCGCTGTACGTGCCACACTCATGGAAAGATAGATCATATACTCAAACCTTTTATGACCTATTTATCACAAACTATGACTATAATCACATGATTGTTAAGTTCTTCCGGGTTTTGGCCAAACTTGAGAGGCTGGAGGGCAACAGAGGATGCTTGGACAACTCAGATTCTTTCTTTTTGTCTTTCTGCTCAGCAGTTATTTATAAGACACTTTTCATCAGATTCTCATCAGGCTGGAAACCTTCAAACACAGAGGACAAACAAATGTTAGCACACATGCAAACAAAATCACAAACATTGTGTCTGCCTCATTGCATCATTTCTAATAATCATAATTCAGTCACATTCCATTTTCAGGGTATTATAATTCAAATGATAAATTGTGAGTTACCTACAAAACATCCTGAACTTAAATGAATGAATAAGAAAGTCTCGTTCTCTACTTGAAACCAAGCAACCCAGAAAACCTCACTGAACACCATCTGCGCTGTCTACAAACTAAACAAAACGGAGCGCACACAAACCACGCTGCGTAAAAGCCGTCGATTGCGCAACAGCACTCTCACAATAAGGCAAGAGCCTCACACACACTGGCCGTTTCTCAATCTCGAGGAACCTGGCTTCCAAGCCAATATTTCAAGGCTGCTACCTCATCGAGTGCCGCCGGAGGACTGTTCCAATCTCCAGCATACTTGGAATTCCACCGAGGGGCGTCCTTGGTTTGGGGGAAATTTCGAGGCTGCACATGGGTAGATTTGCGTCCTTAAAATCCCCACAATGCTTTGGCGCACGGACCAATTTCAAAAA